AATCCCATTAAGCCATGTCCCAAATAACGCATTAACAGAATTCGGGGGTTTGATATTAAAAGCAATGTGGACCGTCTGCCAAAGTACCTTGGCCAGCGGGCAATCAAAAAAGAGGTGTTTAATAGTCTCATCCCGATCGCAGAAACTACACCTAGTAGGTCCTGTCCAATTACGCTTTATTAAGTTATCCTTAGTTAAAATTACTTGTTTATGGACGAACCACATAAACACTTTTATTTTCAAAGGAACTTTGACATCCCAAACATGTTTGGACGTAGGATGGAGTTCTAATTAATAACATCAATATACATTGATTTAACCGTGAATGCTCCAGACTTAGTCAACTTCCAGCGTAATTCATCGGGTTGTTGAAAAAACTGGACTTTCATCAGTCTCCTAACTAGACGGAGCCATTCTTCCCAACGATTGCCCGCTAGCACTCGTCTGAACTGGATATTAAGGGGGGTAGATTGAAAGACCGATGCAACAACCACCTCACGGCGTTGAACAATGCGGTACAAAGAAGGGTATTGGATGGCTAAGGGTGTGTCACCGAGCCAAGTATCCTCCCAGAAACGTGTACTCGTGCCGTTTCCAATAACAAACTTTGTCCTATTAAACAATGCCTGCTTGACCTTCATGAGACCCTTCCAGAAGGGCGAGTCGGTCAGCCGTACTGTGACCTGTGACAAAGTTTTTGACTGAAGATACTTGTCACGAAGGATTCGAGCCCACATAGCATCATTCTCCGAAGAGAGCTTCCACAGCCACTTGCTAAGAAGGCATTTATTCTTAATTTCGAGATTCTCAATACCTAGACCCCCTTGGTCTTTCGGTCTACAGATGATATCCCACTTAGCAAGCCGATATTTTTTTTAAGCTCATCACCCTGCCAAAAGAACCGCGATCTATAGAAGTCCAGTCTCTTCCTAACACCAACTGGTACCTCAAAGAACGATAGAAGAAACATCGGCATACTCGTGAGCACCGAATTAATTAGGATTAATCGGCCTCCATATGACATGAGCTTGCCCTTCCAGCAGCTCATTTTCTTCTTAAATCGGTCCTCGATGCACTTTCATTCTCTGTTTGTCAGCCTACGATGGTGGATAGGAATCCCCAAGTATGAGAATGATAGCTCTCTCAACTCACATCCAAACAATTGCCTATAAGCATCCTGTTCATCTTTGGCCCTACCAAAACAGAACAGCTCGCTCTTATGAAAGTTGATCTTTAGCCCGGTCAATTGTTCGAATAGGCATAACACCAGCTTCATATTTCTCACCTTAGCCAAATCATGCTCCATAAAGATGATTGTATCATCAGCGTACTGTAGGATAGAGACACATCCATCAATAAGATGAGGCACCAATCCACCTACTTCACCATTTTCCTTAGCCCTTCCTATCAAAACTGCCAACATATCCACCACAATGTTAAACAAGATAGGGGACATCGGATCTCCTTGTCTTAGGCCTTTATGTGTCTGGAAGTAGTGGCCTATGTCATCATTAACTCTAATTCCCACACTACCTTTTTGCGTAAATGATTCAACCTATCGGCGTCAGGCTTCATCAAAACCTTTCATACGCAAAGACTGTTGGAGAAATGGCCATTTGACCTTATCATACGCTTTCTCGAAATCCACCTTAAAAATCACTCCATCTAATTTTTTAGACTGGATTTCATGGAGCGTTTCATGTAGGACTACCACCCCTTCAAGGATATTTCTGTCCGGCATGAAAGCGGTTTGGGACTGTTGCACTACAGAATGTGCAATCTGTGTGAGTCTGTTAGTCCCGACCTTGGTGAAAATTTTGAAACTAACATTAAGGAGACAGATCGGCCTGAATTGCTCAATTTTCACAGCATCCGTCTTCTTAGGAAGTAGTGTGATAGTCCCAAAATTCAAGTGGAATAATTGAAGCTGTCCAGAGAACAGATCGTGGAACATAGGTAGTAAATCCCCCTTAATAATGTGCCAGCACTTCTTATAGAACTCAGCCGGGAAACCATCCGGTCCGGGAGCCTTATTATTCTTCATCTGTGCAATAGCATCAAAAACCTCCTTCTCCGAGAACGGGGCAACCAGAATCTCATTATCAGCAGCCGATAGCTGAGGTACATCCTTAGTTCTGGACTCATCAAGGGACACAGTATTATCCTCCGGAGGTCCAAATAACTGCTTATAATAGTCGGTAATGTATGTTTTTAGGTTATCCTGATCTAAAATAGTACCCTCGTCCTGCTCAAGCTGAAAGATTCGCTTCTTTCTGTGTTTGCCATTAGCTATCAAATGGAAGAACTGAGTATTGGCGTCCCCCTGGACCACTTTGCGTACTTTAGCACGCAAAGCCCACTTCAGTTCTTCTTCGCGGAGTAGTTCTTTTAACCTCTCCTCCGCCTCATTTTTAACCTGAAGCTCTGCTGGTGACAAAATATTGGATTCGGCCTGAATGTCCAGGTCCTGTATAAGAGTCAGGAGTCTATCCTTTTCAATCTTATACACACCGCTAAGGTGCTTAGCCCAACCCCGTAAGAAGCTTCTCAAGTTCCTAATCTTATTCTGCCACCGCTCAATAGCAGTTTTGCCTCGTACATCTTTAACCCATTCCCTGGCAATCAAATCTAAGAACCCCTCACGTTCAAACCATGACGTCTCGAAGGAGAAGGTGTTCTTGTTACCCACGTGGTTCGGCTTCCCTGAGTCCACGAACAATGGGGTATGATCAAATATTCCCCTCGAAAGAGCTTGCACCATAACCAGTGGGAATTTTTGTTCCCACTCCACGCTCGCAAGAACTCGATCAAGTTTTTCGTAGGTTGGGTTTGGCAGAGCGTTAGCCCATGTAAACTTTCGACCAGAGAGCTCTATCTCTCTCAGATCCAAGCTTTCGATAATGATGTTGAACATGAAGGACCATCTGCCATCAAAGTTATCATTGTTCTTCTCCTCTTTCCTCCTAATGATATTGAAATCACCTCCAACTAAGATTGGCAGCTGCTCTGACCCACAGATTCGAACAAGGTCCGCGAGAAACTCCGCTTTAAACTCTGGCTGCGCAGCACCATATACCGCCACCAAAGCCCAGTTAAAGCCATCAATCCTAGACCTAACTCGAAACTTTACCGCGAAGTCGCCCATCACTACACTACAGACTTGAAGCGAATCGCATCTCACACCTAGTAAGATACCACCCGATCTTCCTCGCGGAGGGAGGCAATGCCAATCAAAATCAATACCACCGATCAGAGAGGAGAGAAACTGCGGTGCAAAGTTATCTCTACCCGTCTCTGATAGAGCAACAAAATCTAGCTTCTGCTCTAAAGCTGTCTCAGCCAGGAATCTTCTTCTAGCCAAGTCCTTCAGACCTCTGCTATTCCAAAAAATTCCTCTCATAGTTCATCATGGAATTTTTGGTGGTTCGAATCCTAGCACTCCTACGAACTGCGGAATCGGGATAGATCTTCCGTTTCCACTTACGCTTAGGTTTACTAAGTTCAGTCACCCGGTCCTCATGACCGGGTTCACAAATATTACTAGCATCATTCTCTAGGGGTACATCATCTTCCTCAGCGTCATGATTGGGGGGTGCTAGATCCGCACACAGACTATCAAGCACTCTAACCCCTAACACATCGATCTCATCATCATTCATTGGTTTAACTGCTGCAAGATTGCGAATAGTCTCTAAAGCACGTTCCGCCTCCAAATCTAAAATATCATTCACCGAATTGGTAGTCTCACTATCCGTAGCACCTAGTGAAACTCCTAATTGGTTTGCATTATTTATAATGTCCTCATTAGAAAAATGCAATAGGGAATTAGATAAGTTGACGGACATACCAGAAAATAAAGCAGCCTCCTGAAGCTTGGCCGCCCTCATAGCGCACCGCTGCTGCATATCGTCCACCTCAGGGATGTCGAGGATGCGAGTACTCATCCGTCTCCCCTCGAAGATAGGGTCCGGGATCCCACCAAACGCGATCACCTCCTCCCTAGTATAACCTGGCACCGAAACCCTGAAAGGTGGTGCCAAAGTTACCAGAGAAGGCGTCTGCGGGCTCTCGATCTCCTTAGACGGGTGCCCCACACCAGGTAGTGGGGAAGAGTGGATGACAGGGGCCTCCTGCCCGCGCCCTCCTCCCGCCACAGCCGCCAGCTCAGACGGCGTAGCCATCGGCGAGGTGGTCCTCCTGACCATCGGCGTAGAGGGAGGAGACAGGGCCTCCTGCCCCGGCGTCCCCCCAAACGCAGCTGAGAACAGAACTTGTGTGGGACCTGTCAAACTATAACCAAAGAAATGTTCAATGCTGAGAACAGAATGGAGGAAGTGTGGGTACAGTGGACTTGGACCGGCAAGTGGATTTGGAGATGCAAGAGCTATTTTGGCGTGTTCATCAGGGTGGCCATGGCATCAACAAAGAAACCAGGCAGACTTTTCTCCACGTTGTGAAAAGCTTCTACTACTCGGAAAGAAACCAGGCAGACTTTTCTCCACGTTGTGAAAAGCTTCTACTACTCGGCTCATTGCTCACCTGGAACAGTTGATGGCCACATCGCAAAGATCATATTCCAGGATGTCATCTAGGATGAACCACCTTCTTTCCTGTTTATGTTCTTGTTGGTGAAGAAATAAATTTGTGCTTGCGGAAACAAACCTCACTGTTAGTCTGCCACTCTATCCAGACAATGTCTATGTAGAGATCTGGATGATTCATGCTCCCTCCGTATCAAAATATAAGACGTTCTTTTGACACTGCCATAGTGCCAAAGAAAGTCTTATATTTTGATATAGAGGGAGTACGTCTCAGTAGATTCAGTCTCTGAACATGTATTGATGAGAGAAAAATCAATCAATAAAGTGTGAATGTTCTCAACACGGGCAAAACAAAGTGATCGGTGGTTTTTTATTTCCTCAGTGAACTTCTCTTACATGCGAGAGTGAATCGACTACTCAGTGTCGCTTACGTTCAAAATAGCAGTACATCACATTTTTCTACACACTGTACTGAGAAGAGGAACTGACAAGCGTACTGAGTGCAAAGTTCAGAATTTCAGAGCTCAACTTTCTTGGCCTGGCGCTCTTCACCTCCACCGGCACCGGCGTCGCCGATGGTCTTCTTGGCAGCGGCGCCGTCGTCGCCCCCGGCGATGCCAACCACGCGCGGGCCCTTGATCTGTTCGGGCGCCAGCTTCCGGAAGCGCACGGTGAGGACACCGGCGTCAAGGCTCGCCGCGATGGAATCGAGGTCCGCGTTGTCGGGGAGGCGCATCTGGCGCCAGAACCTGCCGTAGGAGCGCTCCTCGCGGTGCCAGTGGTCCCCTTCCGTTCTTCCACCTCCCGCCGCCGCTCGCCGCTGATCCGCAGCACCCGGTTCTCCTCGATCTCCACCTTCAGGTCCTCCTTCCTCATCCCTGGCACGTCGACGACGATCTCGTGGGAGTCGGAGGTCTCGCGCCAGTCCACGCGGGCCATGGACACCATGGCCACGTCGTCGCGGTCGAAGCCGAAGGGGACGTGCTCCAGGATCCGGAACGGGTCGGCGAGCAGGGCCACGTCCTGGATCGGCGATGCCACCGCGTCATCGCGCGCGCCGCGACTGCCGCCGCCGCTCCCGAACCATGGGAGGATCGCGCCGTCCGCCGGCGCCACGGCGAGCGACATTGCCGCCACGGCAATGCAGCAAAGGGCCAAGAAGCATCGAGTCGACATTGCTACCGAACTCGAGGACGCACTTCCCTGGGATGCTACGCTGATCGCGTGTGCGCAAGCGCTCTGTGTCGGCGTGTATTCTTCGATCTCGTGGGTCGTGATCTGTTGCCTTGTGGAATGTGACAATGCGAGCGGCTAACTTGGTGACGACGGACGGCGAAGGTGTCTTCCATTTATAAGGGCTGGGAGAGGTGGGAAGCGGTGGAAGGTGGAGAGGTGGCGAGCGAGCGAGAAGGTTCGTCAGACAAGGGGCGGTCGAGAGGTTTCGAGCGTGTTCAGAGGTTGGCGATGGCGGGAGAGAGTTCCCGAAGTGTCCGCTCCCAGTGGGCCAATCGACGTTCCTGCTAGTGCATAGGAAGTCTGGGCTTATACATAGTTTTTCTTTAAGAGTCTGGGCTTAAATGTAAGAGCAGACCAGTCCTATTCTGCCCAGGTCGATGAAAATCTTCGGGAGCAACTAACGTAGAAATACTCCTTCGGGAACCCCGCAAGGGTCACCTGAGCTGGACTGCCATCACGTGTCGTGCTCTGAACGCTTCCTTCATAAAATTTTATTATTATTTTCCTCACGTGTTTTTGGTTTTCTATATATAATTTTTTTTCGGTTTTTTGGCTTTCCGATTTTCACTGGTCTTTCTTAGCTTTTCGACAAAAAATACGAAAACGGAGAAACTTATGTGAAAACACGTGTTCTATTTTTTTTCTTCCGGGAGAGGCACGGCCGTACCACTCCGAAACGGAAAAACGCATTTTTTTTCTACTTGCGCGAGAGGCACGAATTTATTTCCGCGAGAGGTGCGTCTTCGAAATGAAAAATGTGTTTTCTTTTTCTTTTCTCCTTCCGCGAGAGGCATGGATTTGCCTTCCGGGCCGTGCCCCTCGGAAATGAAAAAAAAGGTGTTTTTTTTCGCAAGAGCCACGGTCATGCTCTCGGAAACAAAAAAGAAATGTGTTTTCTTTTTTTTCTTCCACCAGAGGCATGGTTTTACTTCTCGTGGAGGCACGGATTTGCTTTTACGAGAGACACGGTTGTGCTTCTCGAAAAACAAAAAATATGTGTTTTCCTTTTTTTTACTTTCGCAGGAGACACGGGTTTACTTCTCGTGGAGGCACGAATTTGCTTCGGCGAGAGGCATAGTCGTTCGTCTTTCGGAAAAAAAACATGCTTCCGGTTTGGTTTTTTGGTTCGGCTTTTTTGTCTGCTTTTTCGTGAAAAAAAGTTCATTAAAATCATATCAACATGGAGTCTAATTTTGAAGATCTCGATGCAAAAAATCTAATGGTAAAAACGATTCGAGATTTTAACGCGCGGTTTAAGAGATAAAATGTTTTGAATAAACGGATCTATGAAAAAAAAAGGAAATTATCATGTTGCAACAAGTGGCGCAAGTGTGTCACTTATTGCAACATGAGAAGGTGGGAGTTAACTTTGCAAAGAGTGCTCATTAATTAATGATTTTGGATTTCTTTCCCTACCAGATTTGAGAAAGTTCTAAAATTCCCCTAGCATGGAAGGAGTCGGGGCTTATAGGTTTTTCTTTAGAGAGTCTGGGCTTAAAAGTAAGAGCAGATCAGTCCACTGTCAAAAAACAAGAGCAGGCCAGTCCTATTTGACTCGTAGGTTGCCACCTAGCGTGTACCCGCTCGCTCGTCTGGTCTTCTGTTTGGACGGCCCATTCCAGGTTTCTTCCCCTACCTATTTGGGGAATAATTTCTCAAAAAGAAAAAACCTTCTTGGAAAGGTATCCCTTAAAAACTGTTTGGGGAAGGTTCTAGAACCTTTGCTGAACCAGTTTATTTTTTTCCTTTTTTGTTTTTATTTTGTTTTTGTTTTCATTTTTGTTTCTTTTCTCTTCATTGTTTATTTCTTCCCTTTTTTTTCTTATTTTTCCTTTTTATTTTTATTTATTTATTACCATAGAACAGCAGGGCAAAAACCCTACCGTGTGTCATTTTTCATTAATATAAAAAAGTGACAAAATAAATGGTCTGTACAATGGTTGTTGGGGAGACAACCAGAGAAATAATGAATTACAAATTTTAATGGAAAAGGGAAAGAATTAATAACTAAAATATAGATCTAAATGTTGTCAATTCAAGATGACATGCCATCCTTCAGAGATGGTTTAGCTCTCATCATGGTGATCTTGAAAGATCTGATAAAATCATATTTGCATTCATTTATTGAGCAAGGTATCCCATCAAATATCATCCCATTTCTTTGATTCTAAATGCTCCAGCAGCCCAATGTCATAATTTCCATGAAATGTCTAATTTTGTATCTGTGTTTAGCATCCATGACCATATTGTGGATGTCCAGGTCAGAATTCCATTCAAAACCAATAGTCCACCAAAAACCTTGACTTAAAGGGCAAGTGAAAAGGAGGTGAGTCATGTCTTCCATATCTTCAGCATTGCATAAGACACATGTAGTGGAGTCAAGTTGCATGCTCTTTCGTGTCAATAGATCACATGTGTTTATTTTGTCATATAGCATTAGCCAGTAAAAAATTTATGTTTTGGTAGGCACCATGATTTCCATATCCATATGGAAGTGTCAGCAACATCTTCACCCTTCATTAGATAATCATAAATATTCTTGGTCATGTTGTTGTTACCGCCCCAGTTGAAATTCCAAAATATCATGATCATTGTTGTGCCTGATGTTATTTAATTCATCAGAAAGCAGATGAAATTGCTGGTGGGCTTAAATAGACAGAGGTAGCTGAAATAGACTATATAAATTTTCCAATTCTTTGGCAGCCTTGACAGATATATTTTCCTTATAAGTGAAGGAGTGTAGTTCAGGAAACTTTAGCTTCATAATGTCACCCTTCCATTTGTCCTCCCAAAGCATGTTGGTTTTACCAGATTTAATATCACAAGTTGTCATATCTCTGAAATAATCATACATTTTCATGCAATCTTTCCACCAAAAAGAACCTTTGCTTTGTTTGAATGTGGGGCTTCATTATTTTGTTAATGGGCCTCCCAAATTAATTTAACCCGAGGAACGTCAATCTTGTTGTAAAACTTGAAAAGGTGCTTGATAAGAAGGGCTTTGTTTTGCTCTCTCAAATTTAGAACTCCAAGACCCCCTTGTTGCTTTAGCTTGCATATCATCTGCGAGCTTGCCAAACATTTGCCTCCTTTATTAATCTCATTTCCATACCATAGGAATTTTTTGCTTGATTTATCAACATGATCTAAAATGGTGATATGAACTTTGAGGGAGCACATAGCAAATATTGGCATTGAGGCAACAACAGAATTTATATAGTAAGTCTACCAGAGTGGTTCATGAATCTAGCAACCCCAGATAATCTCTTATCAATTATAGATATGACAGGAATGAGATCCTGTATTGAAGGTTTGGTGGTGCCCATGGGGAGACCTAGATAAGTAAAAGGGAGGCTTTCAACCTTACATCCAAATGATGTGGCATATCTGGTGATAGCATGGTGATCAATATTTATGGGAATCATGGAGGATTTGCTGAAGTTAACAAAAAGACCCGTGGACAAACTAAAGAGGTTCAGAAGGTATTTAAGGTGGCTGAGCTGGTCTTCATTAGCAGGCATAATCATCAAAGTATCATCAGCATATTGTATGATTGGATAATCCTGTCCATATGCATGATTGATAGGTAGAGATAGTTCTCCATTTGACCAGGCAACATTAATAACTGATTGAAGAAGATCTGCAGCAATAACATATAATAATGGGGAGTGAGAATCCCCTTGTCTGACTCCTCTTTTGCAGATGATTTTTTTCCAGCCACTCCATTGAGTAAGATAGAAGTGGCTGGAGATTGGAGAATGTTGGTCACCCAGTTAATCCATCTAGGTCCAAAACCTTTGGCTCTTAGCATAGCAATAATGGTTTTGTATTCCACCTTATCAAAAGCCTTTTCAAAATCTAATTTGAGTATGATGATGGGCTTTTTTGACTGATGGCATAAGTGGAGATACTCAAAAGCATAACCCAAACAATCATGTATGTTTCTGCCTTTGATAAAACCATATTGATTCAGATGGATAACTGAAATAATAATTTTTTGAGCTCTATTAGCCATAAGCTTAGTGATAATTTTTAGAGGAAGACTCACCAGGGAAATAGGTCTAAAATCATTCATATTGAGAGGATTTGCAATCTTTGGAATAAGAGTAATGAAAGCAGTGTTGATACTCTGAATATCACTATTCCCTTTAAAAAAAATCCCAAATCGTAGTATAGATGTCTTGTTTGATAATATTCCAGCATTTTTTTTAGAAAAGATCCATTAAAGACATCTGGTCATGGGGCTCTTTCAGTTGGAATATCTTTAATCACTTGATCAATCTCATCCATAGAGTAAGGGGCCTCAAGTTCAGATAGGTCTTTAGGCTGAATAAGTTCCTCAAGGTTAAAAAGCATAGGTGGGTCAATTGATTTACCCAATCTATCTTTGTAAGATTTCCAAATGATTGCAGCCTTATGATCATGATTTTGGATAGGATTTCCATCCTCATCATTTATAGTAGTAATGAAGTTTTTCCTAAATTTTTGGGTAGCCATGGCATGAAAGAAATCAGTACTTTCATCATCCAGCTTCACACACCTCATTTTAAATCTGGATTTCCAATAAATTCTTTTCACTTCCAATAACTTGGTGATGTGCTTCCTCAGAATATTTCTGAGCTTCCATAGTGCTAAGGTTTCTTTGGTCTTCAATGCCATCCAACATAGATAATACATAGTTACAAGCAGAAATGTTAGTGTTGAGCTTAGACAAGTTTTTACTCCATTTCTTGAGTCCCATTCCAAGACATTTGAATCTAGCAGCAATATCTTGAGCAGAGTTGGCCAGCTATTGGTTCTTGTTCCAACATTGGATAACGATTTCATAAAAACCATCAAATTCAAACCAGTAGTTTTCAAACCTGAAGATGGAGGATTTAGGAATGTCACTGCCAATCTGAATGTGTATTGGGACATGGTCAGAAGTTACTCTGGTAAGA